GTGGTCGGAAATAGCAATAAAGGTTTTTCCGGATACCAAAAGTGGTCGGAACAAAACTTTCGACTTGATTTAATATCACTTTCAGATGGTGAGAAATTCCATAATTTCCAGATTCCGAGCAGTGGATTGAGCTCAGAGTTACGTTCTGAGAGCTTAAGATTAGCAATAATCATTATTGCATGGACCACGGTCCAAAAACATATATAGTACATTATTCTAACTTATAAAATGCACTATTCTAACTTATAAAATACATTATCTTATCTAGAAATTTTATTATTCTAACACATATAAAGTACATTATTTTTAATACATATAAAGTACATTATTCTAACACATAAAGTACATTACTTAACTCATAAAATACATTATCTTACCTCAGAATGTTTATTATTATAATATGTGCACAGAGCGAAGGAATTATTTATTTTTTAACATCAAAACGACGTCGTTTTGGACCGTGTTCCACGCAATAAGATTAGTCTACTAGAAACCTAATGTATACAAAAATAATAAATAAATAAATAAAAAGAGGTTGACCTTAGTTGCTAAAGGTGATATAGAAACAGGCGATGCTGTGTGGAAAACACCTTCACAGCCATTAATGGCAGAGTCAAAAGATTTATCCTTTAGCAAGTCGGCTTCAAACAAATGCAACCTTTCCTTGGCACCTTCCAACGCAAGAAGATGTGCCACCTTATTTGGATCCTCTGCAAAATACATATATAGAGCCATTTATATTCTTGGGAAATAATTAATACATAAGACTTAACATGTTGGGTGTTTAGAGAGAGCACAGAAATTAAGAATCTGCTGCAAATTGGTCCTAAGCAGAAGTGAAGAAGATATATATAGAGAGAGTGAGGGGACTGACTGAGGTTGCGAACGGTGGCGTGGACGGTGTAACCGCGGTGGAGCAGAAGCTTGACGAGCCAAGAAGCTATGAAGCCGGAGGCACCAGTCACACATACTGTCTTCTCCTCTCCGCTCATATTTTTCTTCTTCTTCAGATTTCCAAATTAAATTCAATAGCCTGCATGCCTGTCAAGTTATGTCTTCTTCTTGAGATAATAAACTAAAGCCGGCCTCTAGATACCTCCGTCAGCGCTTATATCAGCCACAAAACGATGATAAATTATACGTATATTTGATTTGATTTTATGATTTGTCCACTTCATGCACACAGTCAGCGACATCCGACAAAATTTGCACGTCATTGGACCGCTCTAAGGTTAAAATTAGGAGTATTAAATTCAGTCAGAAGTAATAAATGCTAATCCTTTCTTTTATTTCCGAGAAAATTACACTTTTCGTTCTTAAGTTATATGATAATGATAGAATTCGTCATTGAGTATTGATCATACGCACTTTTCATCCCTAAGTTATTATTGGTGTTGCATTTTTCGTCCTTTCGTGCTCACTTTTTCGTCCCTGAGTTATACTAAAATTACAAATTTCGTCCCTAATGTTTTATTAGTAAAAGGACGAAAAGTGCAACGTCAGTTTACTTAGGGACGAAAAGTGGACATAACCAATACTTAGGTATGAATTTTACAATTACCTTATAACTTAGGGACGAAAAATACAATTTTCCCTTTATTTCCTTTAACAATCTAGCTGGCAAGCACATGCATCTTCTCCATCACATACACTAACACTTTATTGCCCAATGCCAATACGCCCTAGCTCAGTTGATTCTTAGTTGACATATTGTAGACAAGAACACAAGATTGAGTCTTGATAATCGCAGTGTAAAAGTTACACACTCACTGTGGTTAGATTGTTAAGTCACCGTGATACATCATTTCTATAAACTCTGTCGGATAAGGGTGGGGAATTTCGCCCCAAGATAACCAATCACAATGCGCTATTTGATTGGAAGGAAGGAATTAGTTAGTAAGGAAATGAATTGTAATTCCGTGGGAAAAAGAATAAAGTATGAATTCAAATTACATTATTTCGTAGGCATGAATAGAATTGTGGGATTTGAAAGAAAAAAAAAAAACTAAAATACCCTTAATATAATAATAAGAGTAAATACCCAAAATGGTCCCTCGCCAATTGCTAAATTCACAAATTGGTCCTCGACTTTTAATTTCAACCAATTAAGTCCTTAACTTTGCAATTTTAACACAATTTGATCCTTCGTCTATTTGACCGTTTGTTGACTATGTTTTTTTAGGATATATATGTAATTTCATGGTGTTATCACCTCCATATATATCCTAAAAAAAACAAAACAAAAAAAACAAAAAAAAAATCATAATAATAATAATAATAGATAAAATGACAAAATAGCATTCGTAATCGAATCGGGATCAAATGGTTTAGGTCATGGTCAAAGTTAACGGGTCAAGTGCCTATATAAAGGGCATTAACCCTTCATTGTAGAGCGTATGCCTTTCGAACCGAACGCAGTGCCCATCTTCCAAATAAAAGACTCTCTCTCCCTAAAATATAGAACATTCTCTACTTTCAAAATAGCAATTATTGTCTCTGGTATCAGTTAGCCAGTTAGGACTCTCTCTCCTCCCACATTGTCGATTCTCTCTCGTTTTTCGACCATGTCGCAGAGCTCCACCGAGCGTACACTCACCGCCACCACCGTTTCTTCCCCAAACACTAACCCAAATTCCCAAAATAGTGCACACCCTTTTGTGTCACTAAAGCTTACCAATCATAATTACCTATTCTGGAGGACGCAGCTCATCCCGTTCCTTCGCGGACAAGGATTACTGGGGTATGTAGATGGAGGACATCCGTGCCCATCGCCGGTTTTGGAGATCCCCGCCGGCAGCAACTCAGAAGACGCTGCCTCCACCACGTCCAACCCCGCCTATGCTGCGTGGGTGCAACAGGACATTTCCATACTATCCCTCCTCATTTCATCCATGTCCGAGGAGGTCATGTATTTGGCCGTCGGCCATACCACCTCGCGTGGAGTGTGGAAAACGGCGGAGACAGCGCTGGGTTCGTCGACACAGGTGAGATGCCTCAATCTTTTGGGACAATTCCAGTCCTTGAGGCAAGGTGATAGCTCCCCAGCGGAGTACTTAGGACGAGCGCAATTGTTGGTTGAAGAGCTCGCGCTTTCCAGCCGGAATATGACACTCACAGAACAGAATCTGTACGTGTTCAAGGGCCTCAGACCGGAGTTCCGGGCGATGGCGGCTTCACTAGTAGTCACCGGCACGCCGGTGTCGATCCCTCAACTCGCGGACTACCTGCAAGCGCAACAATTCATTCACGCCGATGACTATCCAGCCGGGTCTCCATCGATGACTGGTGCTGCACCTCAGGCGCTGTACGCCGGACGTGGCAGGTGACAGAACGGAGATGGAGGCAGACACAATCGCGGTGGTCAGGGCCGTGGAGGAGGCCAGCGTGGCGGTGGCCGTGGTGGTCGCGGCCGAGGCGGTGGTGTGCCGCGTTGTCAGATCTGCCGTGCCCAAGGGCACACTACCGTCTACTGCAATCGCCGTTACACCGAAGCTCCACCGTCGCAGGCACACGTAGCCGTCGCAGGAGAGGCCGGCGCACTGGAGTCCACCGCTTGGTTACCGGACACGGGCGCGTCAGCGTACGCTACCCCTGATTCCGGTCTAATCACGCATCCCGAGGAGTATCACGGTGGGGATGTCCTTCGAGTGGGTAATGGGACAGGTTTGGCAATCTCAAGTGTTGGTCATGCGTTAATCCCGTCTGTTTCAAAGTCCCTAAAATTATCTGATATTCTGCATGTTCCTGAGCTATCTGTGTCATTGTTATCTGTTAACCGTTTCACCAAAGACAATAATTGCTATTTTGAATTTCACCCTACGTTCTTTGTTGTGAAGGACTGCAAAACACAGGCGGTGCTTCTTAAAGGACTTAGCTCCGGGGGCTTATACACACTGTCGGTCCCGAGGTCTCGTTTCACGTTTGTTACAGCCCGTGCGTCATCTGTGGTCTGGCACCAGCGTCTCGGTCACCCTCACAGTCAAGCCCTCCAGCGAGTGTTACGGGATTGTCCGGTTGAGTCAAATAAAAGTGTAGTGTCAAATTTATGTTCCGCATGTCAGCTTGGAAAATCATGTCGACTTCCATTAGATAGAGTACCAAAATCTAGCATTAATGGCTATATATGCTCACAGCCCTTTTGAGCCAAATTCTGGGATCGTCTCCTCTCATTTGTTCATATAATTTGCATATGTATTCTATACGTACAAAATATATGAAGCAATATGTATTTTATATATATATATATATATATATATATATATATATATATATATATATATATATATATATATATATATATATATATAAAGAGTGGATCAGGTGTAACGATAACTTTCGGTGTGGTTGTGCGATTAACACAAAATTAAACGACACACCTTAAGCATTAAAATTGCGCACATTAAGTGCACAAATCACGCACCTTAAGCACACAAACAAAGCACCTCAAGAACATAAACCACACACCTAAAGTTTTAAAATTGTGCACCTTAAGTACACAAACCACGTACCTTAAGCACACAAACAAAGCACTTTAAGAAAACAAATCACGCACCTAAAGTTTTAAAATGGCGCACCTTAAGTTTCAACAACTGACGCACCTTAAGCATACAAATCACGCACCTTAAGAAGGAAAACCACGCACCTTAAGAAGGAAAATCATGCACATCAGATTTGACTTAGATGCAAAATGACCAAATTGCCACTGCATTTTTTTAATCATTGTTAATCTTGGACGTTGATTTAGGCAAGATCAATGGCTCAGAATTAATCGCACAATCGCAAGGGAAGAATTCAATAAGTACGTGGGGGTGGAGAGCAACTGCACCCCCACTTATTGAATTCAGTTCCCTTGCGGTTGTGCGAGTAAATCTGAGCCATTGATCCTTTTGGGGTAAGGAGAGCAACTACCCCCATAGTGGCTTCGTCCACATCACGTATAACACATATATTACCTCAATACCTTGTAAAGAATCATGAATGTCTAAAAAAAAGAAAGGTAGTAGTTGTGTAAGTTGGGTACTAGAATTTCATGACCAGACCTCCGGTGAGGTTGCTACTACAATAGGACTCCTAACCCTGTGATAACCGTCCACTTCGACCCAAGTAACCGAACCCATGTTTATGCTCTGATCCACGTCGCCTCTGTAACGTATTTTCAACGTATAGCTCAGCTTCTCGTTTTTCTTCCCGAACGTCAGCGTCCTAGGAGAAACAGATATTGTTGACTTCTTGGGCACTTCCAGCTTAACCTTGTACTTAGCCGCACCTAGGCCGACATTCGTGACGGTCCTCTTGAATGTCTGCTCCAACCAATTGAATTCTTGGGATTCAATGGAATATAAGGCGATAAAAGATGGGTAGTTCAAGTCTGAGTTTGGTCTGGAGCAATTACGCCTGGTCGAACCTCGAGCAATGCTCCGGAATTGAGCTTCGGTGAAGTTCAGGGAGCATAGGAGATTGATATAGTCTTGTGGCGTGGCATCGTAAATTAGGCCTGGATCAAGAGCGCGGTTTGGGTCGACGAGCCCCGCCCCCATGTCCAAGGGGGTGGCGGCGGAGTCCTCGTATGATTTCTTGATAGGCTTCCCGGTGTTATCTATGGTGATCGCGGTGGTCATCATGGCGGACCGGATAGCCGACGGGCTCCATCCAGGGTGCGCACCTTTGAGCATGGCGGCGATTCCGGCGGCGTGAGGACACGCCATGGATGTGCCCGACTCCAGAAGGTAATCGCTGGATAATTGTATGTTTGTCCCGATGGTTGATGCGACCCCTGTTGGTGGGTAGGCTGCTAGTACTAACACCCCCGGCGCCATTATATCCGGCTTGGAAATTCCGGGGTAGCTTGGAGAAGGGCCTCTGGAAGAGGACGCGGAAACGGTCGGGGCTGGCTTGTTCCCGAAATATGTCTCCTGGAATGTAATGGTGGCTCGCGGGTCGCTTCCTTTTTTGGCATACCTGGTTAGAAATTACATTTAGAGATTGTACGAGATAGAATTTAATTTTTATAGGATAATATTTGTTTTAAACTTTTCTCAATTTTTTTCAGCTCAAAAATCAATGCTCCTACCACTACTGTTGTTCAATCTTGTGATCACTCATTTGGAATGGTAACAACAATATCATCACACAACATAGTAGTTGGCATTATATTTAATTTGTAGATTTAGTTGTTATTATTATTTTTATATATTTAATAATGAATCTCTTCTAAAACAGTATCACGAATGTTTATTCTTGAGACCGGTCGTGAAAAGATTAAAATGTAATACTTATATTGAAATATATAAATAATAAACAAAAATAAAGTGTTTGTTACTTAGGCTATCTTCGCACCTATAATCTTCTCTCACTTTCTAAATGTCATATCACTAAATTTACAATTATTCACTATTCAATATCCTTTCATGCGATTCTCCCTCCTTTTTCAAAAAGAGTCCCACTATATATCACATGCATCACCTTATAAAAAAATTATTTCTTTTATTAATAAAATAATAATAACAATAATTTAAAAGGACAAAAGTAGCATTTGCAATTCTGACCGTCAGAATTGCAATAGAAAAGGACAAAAGAAACAAATATTTATTCCTAATTACTACTCCCTTTGTCTCATTTATCTGTCCTATCTATTATTCATTAGTCAAACTAATTTTTTTTTTCTATTTTTAGTATTTTTTTACTATTTTTAAATTTAATTTTTTGTGTTTAACATTACTTTTAGTGTAGTTTCTAAATATATAAATTTTGTATACCAATACTAAACTTAATATTATAAAAAATTGGATTAAAAATAATTTTAGTCAAATCTCGTTAACCGAACCAGACACATAAAATAGAACGAAAGGAGTATTATATTTCTAATATAATATTATGTTTTACAGAATAAATATTATATTTTCATCTTAACCCCGGACACGTCTCTTACACAAGTTTTTTACTTATATTAATTTTCTTTATACAGTTCTACTATTATTCTTCTCTCAAAAGGTTAAATCTCAATTTCACGTGTTCACACCTAGACCCGACAGAGCACGGTGACTTGAATTTGCTCACTCTGAATATAATCTTCTGGGGCCGAAATTTAAACTTTGATCTTTTCTCTCAAATAGTGCGTACTGAACCATTAAACTAAGCATGTATTGTAGTTCCACTACTATTCTATTATTATTCTTGCATCGGTAGCATTAGTCACTCGTAGAACTAACCTTAGTTCTCCCAAAAGGTTGAATTCCCAACCCTAAGGGACCCCAAATATAAATCACGGTCACTCAATAATTCAGCAGGGCCAAATGCCAGTGCGCACATACCAACTTTGAACATAATTTCCACACTGCCACTCCCAAAGTTCGAACCTTAGTCTCTTCTCCCAAATACTACCCACTAAACCATAGAACTAAACCTTACTTAAATTTTAACATACCTGATCACTTGCTTCCCTTCTTTGGGGCTAATGACAACTCCTGGGTTAGGAAAATCCACAAATCTGAAAATAGCTGGATCGTCATTGATGAAGATTGCAGCAAGGAGCCTAGCCTCCGTGACGTAGCCCATCTGGGTGGAGAAATCTGCTTCCTCTGATTTCTGGCAGATGAGAATGGTTGATCCTGGATCAGGGACTTGAGCTACTAGTTCAGATGAGTTGCAGACTGAAATGGTTTTGTTGTAAAGCAGAAATACGTCTCTCACGAGGGCTCTCCCCGGAAACGTAGTCCATCCCCGGATTCTTATCCCATTTCCCAATGTTAAAGTTCCGGCGAACCACCGGTCTGTTAACCCAGACGCCACCGTCAAGATCCACGGCACGGCGTTGTTTACGCCGCCATAGTTCGGGCCACGGTTTCCGGCCGAGGCGGAGACGAGGACGCCCTTCATCATGGCGCCGAATGCGGCAATGGCGATTGAGTCTTCGTAGAGAGGGATGAAACGGTAGCCGATGGAGATGGATATGACGTCGACGCCGTCCGCCACGGCCTGGTCCATGGCGGCGATTAGATCGGCGGTGGAGCTGCCCTCGCTCCAGGTGGCCTTGTACACCGCCAGGCGAGCTCGTGGGGCCACTCCTTTGGCCGTCCCGGCGGCGTACCCGAAGAACGAAACCCCCTCGGCGTAGTTCCCGGCGGCGGTTGACGCCGTGTGCGAGCCGTGGCCGTTGGTGTCCCTGGCGGAGTTCATGGATATGGATATGTTATACTCCGGGTTCTGCGCGAGAAGTCCGGCTTTGAAATAATCGGCGCCGATCAGCTTTCTATTGCACAGCGAGGAATTGAACTCTGTTCCTTCCCGGCAACGCCCTCTCCATCTCTTGGGAATCTCCGGCATCCCGTGGTCACTGAAGCTCCTAGATTCCGGCCAGACCCCGGAATCAATCACGCCGATGATCACATCCTCGCCGAATTTCGACGCCGGCCATAGCCCCGTAGCTGGGTTGAGTTTAAGGAAATCAGAGGTATAAGTTGTGTGAAGCTCAAAAGGGTGGTCCTTATAGGCCGAAACAAACCCGGGAGACATTTTCAAGGCTTCGAGTTCTTCTTCCGACAAGACGGCGCTAAAACCGTGAAGAACATTGTCGTAAGAGTAGACGAGCTTTGGAGGGTGTGGCCCAAGCTTGACGGAATCAATGGCGGATGAGTACCAGTGGTGGTGAGTGGAGAAAGCTCTAGGCATGGCGGACTTGTCCATGTGCACGATGTAGAGTGATCTATCAGCTGCTAAAGCTAATGAGAAAATCTGGAGAGCGAGAAGAAGCCATGGAAGTGAAGGAAGAAAAGGTGATAATATTCCCATTTATTGATCGGAGAGGGAACTTCTGCGTTTAAGCTGCGACTTCCATACATGCTAACATGCATATTTATAGTCATAACTTAACGTTGAATGATGAGGAAACTATAGTAGAATTAAAATTATGGGTCACACTTGTATGAGACATCTCACATATTTTATATTTTGAGATAAAAATATTACATTTTTTATAAAAATATTACACTTTTTCTGGGTTTGTTACTAAAGAGAAAAATGTAATACTTATTAGAAAAAAATGTAAGAAAAATATTACATATTTTCATATAAGTAATAAATAGTTTATTCATTATTAGTATTATATTTTTCATTATAAGTATTATATTTTCATCTTCATCCGATGCGTCCGTGACACGATGCCACGCAGGTTTTTGCCAAATCTAAATAGAGTAATTTTACATAATGTATTCTCATTTTCTACTCCCTATAATGTGGCATGCTTTGATTGTTTAATATAACACGGGGCCATAATTTTTATCCACTCCTTTTTAAAAAAAAAAAAAAATCTCATTTATGATTACTCAATTTGTTAATTATTATAATGATGTTAGTTGTTGCTGTTTATTATTATTATTATTATTATTATTATTATTATTATTATTATTATTATTATTATTGTACATAAAGTTATATATGTGAATTAAATCAGCTAAATAAATTGTTCTTTTCTTTCTTCACTTCAGCTTTCCAAATCACTAGGGCCCATAAGTAGCGCATAATCATTCTTCAACTTGCTAGGCGGCTAACCTTAGCATTCTTCTTTATATTAGTTTATTTATAGATTTATAGATAGATTATAGATAATGTTATTTTTATTAAATTTTAATTTTAATAAATTTTATATAATTTTTTTGAAAACCCTAAATTTTATATATGAGTTTTGGTGCGGATCGGAGACAGCTTCCCGTGCGGTTGTGCAGGTTAGCACAAAACAACGCACCTTAAGTACACAAACCACGTACCTTAAGCATACAAACAAAGCACCTTAAGAACATAACCACGCACCTAAAGTTTTATAATGGCGCACCTTAAGTTTCAACAACTGATGCACCTTAAGCATACAAATCACGCACCTTAAGAAGGAAAACCACGTACTTAAAGTTTTAATTAAACTGATGCACCTTAAGTTTCAACAACTGACGCACCTTAAGCACACAAACCATGCACCTCATGAAGGAAAATCACGTACTTAATGTTTTAATTAAGCCGATGCACCTTAAGTTTCAACAACTGACGCACCTTAAGCACACAAACCATGCACCTCATGAAGGAAAACCGATGCACCTTAAGTTTCAACAACTGACGCACCTTAAGCACACAAACCATGCACCTTATGAAGGAAAACCACGCACCTTAAGAAGGAAAACCACGCACCTAAAGCTTTAGCCCGATGCACCTTAAGTTTCAACAACTGACACACCTTAAACACACAAATCACGCACCTTAAGACGGAAAACCATGCACCTTAAGAAGGAAAATCATACACCTAAAGCTTTAGATCGACGCACTTAATTAATTTTTCAACAATTGACGCACCTTAAGCCACATAGTACAAAAACCATGCACATTAAGAAGGAAAACTACGCACCTTAAAAAGAAAAATCACACACCTTAAACTTGACCTAGATACAAAATGACCAAATTGCCATCGCATTTTTTTTAATCATTGTTAATCATGAATGTTGATTTCGGCAAGATCAATGGCTCAGATTTAACTGCATAACTGGCATGGGACACACCCAACCGCACGAAAATGGAATTATGTGTGTGTGTGTGTGTGTGTGTGTGTGTGTATAAGGGTATACTACGCTGATTGAAATGGATCGGCCTAAGAAAAATAATTGGATCAAGGGAGCCCAAAGAGAGGCTGAACACGAGACAACAAATGAGTTCTGGGGATTAGGCTTATTATTCCTAACGTACCAAGGAGGGGGCCTATTTTATATTGAGCTTGTCACTTTTAATATAATTAGGACTCCCAATATGAGGCAGTCTAGGATTTCTATTTCTTGTAGGGCTTCTAGCCCAAAATATGTATAAATAAACCCCGCATACATAGGGAAGGGACAAACAATTCTGAGCAATACAATACTTATATTCTCTCCATATTTTCTGATTTTCTATATATTCATTATTTTAACGGTTGTGTTGGTCATCCGTTGATTGCCCAAAAGTCATAAAACCAATATTGACATCGTCTGTGAGGATCGATATGAAAAGTTTACGTTCGTCCCTCAAACCTAAAACACACACCCGAAACCCTAATCATGGTGACCACTCGACGTCGCACCCGCACTGACAGGTTGGTTCGATATCTGCGAGAAACCCTCAGTCGGCCTGCCTCTCGCGTGCCATCCGATCCGTCCACGAATTTAGGGGGGATGATGATCTAGGAAATCCTCGAGAGGAGGATCGATGAGGTTCATTCAAGCACACTCTCGTTAGTTACTAGCGCCCGCGGACCTAACCAGTCGAACTCCCCTTGCTGTGGTGGAGGTCGTTGAGCGCCTCCTCGAGGTTCTACAGCGTGATCGCATACCCAGAGGTGAGTCCCCTCCGGATACCTCTCAACGGGACCACCCAGGAAGGACGAGCTACATGGACCAATCACCTGAGAGAATACAAGGGTTGGGCCTACCCAGGGAGCATCGTCGTGCGGTCTTAGTCCTTGACTGCCTGGGACCTCTAAGCCAACAGCCTCTCACCACGCGGCCCAAACGGGACAACCCATCGATCGAAAGCCCATGACGAAAAGCCAAGCTCAACCCCTAACGGCGAGATGAGGCCGCTCAGATAACCAGCCCCCGCACACGGGAACCATAGGTAGAGCATAATAAAGAACGTTTTTCAGAGGGCATGGTGGAAAGTTGTTGTGAGACCCTTGACCTCGGTCGAGAAAACCGAGACTGGGAGATGGTGGAGCCTGCCAAAGAAGTAAGAAAACTCCAAAGGAAGAGATTGAGGGTGGAAAGGACCGACCGATCGCTCGGTCTCTATTGTCCGCCAGCCCATTCTCCGTGGAGATCCAAGAATATCATGCGTCGAGAGACTTTAAGTGCCTAGCGATGCCTACATTCACGAGACAAATGATCCTAGTGACCACATGGTCGACTTTCAGGCAAAGATGATGGTGATAGGAGCTGGATTGAAAAGACGAGATACAGAATCCATACGCGTAAGCTAGGTACATAATATCATAACACAAGACACAAAAAATCATAACACAACCCATTTACATGTTATATATTTACTTATTTTTAAATATGATTTACGTACATAATTTGTGTTCATAGGCATAGAATTTCACAACACAAGATACATAAATTCATAACATAAGAAACAATTACTAATTTGTTCCAGGTACAGAATTTATACTCGTAATGTACAAAAGTTTATAACGCAAGACACAAAAAGCCACAACACAAAATACATACAGATGAACTAGGGTCCATAGTGTAGTGTGAACCTTGGTCCATAGTATAAAGATTGAGTTCCATTGGTGTCCACATGTATCTTAGGGCTGATGTGTCATAATAATAATAATAATAATAATAATAATAATAATAATAATAATAATAATAATAATAATAATAATAGTTAAATTTCTTAAATTAAATTATTTTTCATTCTTCATTGTGCACATGTGCTAATGTTTTGTTTTGTATTGTATTTTTTTTTTTAAATATAAGATTATGGCTGCCATAGCATCTAACAACCATTGTCAATTTCCACGGCAACACCTTTAAAAAAAAATATTTTTAAATATAAAAGTAACTTTTCATTCCTTAAAAGATTAGAATGCAACCCCACCCACCACCCCCGAAAAAAAATAAAAACAAAGAAATAGGGAAAGCATAAGAGCACATGCATTGCTGATGTATCTGTGTCCCTGTCTAGCATACCACCAGTTCTAGTGAATATAATGTTATACTACATTTAATTACTATTAGTTTTAAACTTTATTCTTTATTCTTTATTTTCAAATTTAAAAATATCTAAATCAGCTTAATTTATATTATCTTTTCTCAAACTTTCAAAAAAAAAATATTATCTTTTCTCAAATATTCTATATTTAAAAAAAAAAATTTAAAAAGTAAAAAAGTGGGAGTTTTCTGGTTACTCCGTATTAGTAAACGCAGCATTACTATTTCAAACTTTATATATATATATATATATATATATATATATATATATATATATATATATATATATATATATATATATATATATATATATAGGCGGGTTCAGGTGCGGCAGTGTCTTACGGTGCGGTTATTTCTTACGGTACGGCAACACCAATAGTTCACCAAATATGCACCATCAACGTTAGGAAATACACCACACAAAACAGAGCCCTGCATCACCAAACACACACCATTAGGTGTGAGTAAAAACACCATACACTGTTTGGAAATACACCATTGGGGGTGGTGAGTTATATGGTGTATTTTTTTGAGTCTGTGGTGTATTTTGTGATGTTTTATTACATTTCATTGGGGTGTGTTTTTATTACACTGTTGGTGCATATTGTTAACACTGTTGGTGTATTCTGGAATTTGACCGCACCGCCGCACCGTAAGACCCCGCCGCATATGAGCGCTCTTCTATATATATATATATATATATATATATATATATATATATATATATATATATATATATATATATATATATATATATATATATATAGAGAGAGAGAGAGAGAGAGAGAGAGAGAGAGGACATGGTTCACATGCGGTCAGCTCTTCCGTGCAATCCTGCGACCTAATGCATTTACATTGCTCGGTGGTGCATCCACTCATAGGTGCACCACAAATCACTCATTAGTGCATTACACCCTAATGCTAAGTGCACCATCAAAATATATATGGTGCATGAAATTATCAAAACGTCACCACGCTTTTTCCTATTAGTGCACCACATGCCAACACTTTGGTACACCATAGTTTACTCAAAAGTGCACCACAATTCATTCAAAAGTGACAACACCCTAGCACTTAGTGCACCACCGAAATATATATGGTGCAGGAAATT